TCAAGGACTTAAATACCAACTCAGCACTGTGTTGGCACAATCTCTGGGACTCCTCCCACTGAAAGGAAAGAAGCCAAGGTTGCAGGAGGAATGAAGTGACCAGCCGCATGCTGCCAATACCATAAAATAAATCAGTGAACAATCTGAGAAAAAAAAAAAAAACTAGTATCTGACCTTTCTCACACCACAGTGGGGTAAAAAATCTGACTGCAACAGTCTCTGGTCTGGATGAGTTACTAACAGCTTTGTCAAAGGATGATGATTTTCGTGTGTGTTTAAAACCCTCTCTGTACCCTCAAAGAGAGGAAGAGGCAAACAGTCCAACCTGTTCCTTTCAGAAGAGTCATTAATCTCCTAACATCTCTAGGGCAAAACAGAAAGCTTGTTCAGAGAACAAGGTCTGACTCTCCCATCTCCCAAGATTTCTTGCTGATGTGGGGAAAGGCCTGCCAAGAACCCTTAGGCTATTAGGAAATATTTTTGAGTGGCTAAAGGCTAAAGGTTGGTTATAAATGATATACTTTCTGTCCTCTTCTAGGCAGCCTCTGCATTCCCTCCCTTTCTCTTGCCCTTAACTTCTGCTAATTCTCCATAGACACTCAGGAATATTCTGGACAGATCAGAGAAGGGAAAGAGGGGGGATCTGAGACAGGGTTACAGGCAGTGCAGGCTGGTCCAAATCTTTCTCTTCCTGCTAAGAACTCTAAAAACAAAAGAAGCACTAGTGGCAATGCTGAGGGCACAAATCTAGGATATCTCCATCAGAAGGGGCTCAAGCACTGGAGAGAGACATTATGTGAGTTCAACTATTATGCAGCCTCTGTTGGGATAAGGAGAAGGTAGAGGGAAGCATTTCCTAACACAGTTGTCTAAGAAGGAAGGTAGAAATTGGGAGCTTCTTTGGCTGAACCTATTGATCTGTAGCAATTAAGGTGGGAAGGTATGACCTTAGGGGAAGGGGCAGAGGACAGATTTCATGTACTGCAAGCATCCTCAGCCTGCCTTCTGCAACACCAATGGTGAAGCAAAGAGAAGGGAGCAAACCTAGCATCGTTTCTATAAATGTCCCCCTTCCTCTTCCTCCCCATGGGGTTGGAAGGCCACTGACATGTTCTCATAGCCCGTGGGAGGAAGTGGCCTTTGGAGAATCATAAAGCAGCAAAAATAGACAAGAAATTGTATCCGGCAAGCCCGTAGAAGACTCCATAATGGCCTGACTGAAAAAAAAAAAAATCTAGATTCTAGATGAAACCTCCTTGGGGTGGAGGCAAAGCCACTTCCTCTGTCTCGCTGCACCCCAGCCCCTAAATCAGGAGTTCCTCTTTCTCATAACCACGGAGCAACATGTTTATTGCAAGGCCAGCAATGTTCCAGGCACAGAGAGGACATAAGTCCAGTTCCTAGCTAGTAGAAAAAACTCCTGGATGTGAGAGTTTTGGGTCTATGGTAGTCTCCAGCACGGGCAAATAAAAAGATTGGTCCGAGCCTCAGTTTATTCATCCATGAAACGGGAAAATAATAATACGTACCCAGCAGAGCTAGGTTAGGATCAAATGGGCCTTTTGAAACCCGGGACGCTCTGCGCAGCGAGGGGGGCATTGCTGGCCAGGTCTTCACTACCATCCGCCCTCTCCCAAAGACCCCACTCCAGGAACCGTACCCAGCCCAAGGAGTCCATCTCACCTGGTTCAGTACATAGGTAGGAGTAGAAGCCCTCGGACTTCAGCATGATGAGCAGAGAGCCCCAGCCCAGGAGGACTGCCGAGAAGAGGAGGTTTTCCAACACCGCGGTGCAGGCCATCCACCAGCGGCGCCGATGGGCAGTGGCCAGGGTGGGCGCCATGGTGCGGCGCGGCGCGGCAGCCCGGCTCTGCAGCCACCTGCGCACAGACCTCCGCGTCAGCGCCGGCCCTACCCAGTCCGTACGGCCGCCCCCGACCGCTGTCCCAAGGCGGGGAGATGGTCACTCCTCCGCGGCCCTGGCTATAGGTGCGTGCGGTGAGGCAAGCAAGCCCCAGCCCTGTCCCAGACCTGGGCCACCCCTCAATCCACGGCAGGCTCGTACCACACTGCCCTCAGCTACTCTGGAGCCTCCCTGGCCAGGCAGAAAGACTTTTTCCTCAGCGCATTCCGAGGTAAACTGAGGCATGGAGGCAGGAATGGACTTAACGCATGCTCAAGGACGTGGAATTAGTCCTAACCCCCTCAGGATTGACATAGCTAGCCCGGGGGCCGGAAGGGGAAAAAGCTTAAGGTATGGCCACCTGGGTAGGGGCATACCTGAGTACTGCCACTCCCAGGGACTCTGACGAGCTCCCGTCCGCCCGCCCGCACTCAAGACCCTTCCCCAGTGCTGTTTCTTTCAACCACAAGATCAGCGCACCAAGCCCCGGAACGGCCCGCCCACGGAGCGCTCATTGGCCTGACCGCGCAGGAACTGCCGCACCATTGGCCACTGTCTAGGTCGCTAGGCGCTGCGGCCACGCGAACCCCGCATGGGAGAGGCGAAGCCGGTTCAAACCGGCGGCGCGAGCCTGCCGAAGAGCCCCCATCCCGGGCTGTTACCTCGGCAATCAGTCCGTTTCCATAGAAGCAGACCCCGGTCCCTCCATCCCTCAGCTCCCTCCCGGGTTCTTAATCTATTCCCTGGCGGATCCTGTATCCAGTTTCTTCCCTCTCATATTCACAAATTTTCTAAGCCCCTTCTTGTGCGGCTTCTGACCCCCCACTCCCTGGCCTGGGACCCGGATCCCCGGGGTTCGGCTCACCCAGCTCCTACTGATGTGTGTCGGGCCCGCCCGGCGTTTTTTCTGCCCTCTTTTATTCCAGCCCTTTTATTCCGACCCTAAGATGAAAACACTGCTGCCTGCTGATTGGCTGAGTGGGGGCTGGAAACAGGCGTTGACCAATCATCATCCACCCGCCCGCCCCCCGGCAAGCAGAAGCCGGTTCCGGCCGGACTTGAAGACAAACAAGAGAGTTGGGGGGGCCTGGGGCAGCTGTGGGCCTTGTCTTGACTCTGCTGTTTTAAAGTGGAGCCGCAGCCAGGCCGGGAACCCCCGGGACATTGCTCCACCGCCTCTCCAGAGCCCCACCCGGAGCCCTGACCCTGGGCTGGGTCCTCAGCTAGGCGTTCCCGCGCTCCTCGGACTTCCCCAGCTGCGTGGCGGTCAGCTCCGATTTCGCACTCCGCTCTCCTCTGACCCGCTAGGTTGTCTCCAGCTCCCTTGAGCCCTTAGGCTTCACGCGTGGATGCTGTGACTCCGCGCAGGTCGTTTCACTCTCGGAAGTCCCCACTTGCCTCCTTCCCTCGCAGAGATGTTATCCCGACTTTCTCAGGCTTTGTGTTCTGGTTCCTCGCTCTCCTGCCTATGGTGGTCTCCATCCAGGTGCAGTCTGTGGGTCTCGGTCTTCGGACCCCTCTTCCCTGCACTCCTTATTCACCGATTTCTTGCCCTCTCCTAGGTGCCATCTGCTGGGTCCATAATAGGTGTCCCTTGAGGATCTTAAAGCAGGAGTTTAGGTCTTATCGGTCCTGTGTTAGGACATTGTCTCTCTGGTCCTCCATTCAGACTCTGAGGCTTCCATTCGAATTCCCGCTCTCCTTGATCCCCTGGGTGGCCTAACTCAGATCAGTCATTTTTGTGCTCCCTGATCCCGAACATCTCTTTCTGGTATGGGTCCTCTCAGCAGAGTGAGCCCTGGGCAATGCCAAGCTCCTAGTATCTGTGTGGTCTTTGTGCGAGGGGTCGCCAGGGATTAAGAGTGCTTTGGCCTCCCTGAGCAGAAGAGCCGGCCCTGCCCCGAGGAACTGCTGGATTCTAAGGGTTCTGCTGTCCGGCAGCGTCTTCCTGACCAGAGGCACTAGTCTGACCTTGGAAAACCCTGTGTTCCCCAGAGTCTGTGTACTCCAGGAGCTGGCTCAATATCCCAATGCTATAGGAGCCCCAGTAGCCTCCTATTCCTCTTCCTCCAGTCCCAGTGCGCCCTCTGCTGCAGTGAACTGCCGCTGGCCTCCCTGCAGGGACATCCTCTCCAGCACAGTGCTGGTTGGTATTGTTGGTTTGTGCCAGGAGGATCCTGGCTGATTACCTATTGGGTTACCCACCCCATAGATTCTTATTCAAGGTTTCCACCGCACCTGACAGCTCTCCCTTCTTTCACTTGCCTTCTTTTAGCCAACTGCCTGAAGACCCTCTCCAGACCTCAAATACATCTTTTAATTCACCTTCCATGGCTAGGGATGTGTACAGGAGGCCCTGGGATCAATCCCCAACATCACATAAATAATTATTCAGTTTCTCCCTCAAAACTATGCCACTCCCGATCTCCCTTAAATAAGGTAAATATAGTGAACCATCCTTTCAACAAATATTTGTTAGGTACTTGCTATGACCACACCAGTACAACCATATTTCTTAAATATTTAATCTGTCCATTTATGTCCCTAGCACACAATCATACAACTCAGATCCATTCCCCACTCCATCCAGTAAACTGTGGGAAATGCAAATAGGACCTCTGCTAAAATTTTTCAGAAACTTTACCATTTGTTCTGCAAGTTGAAGTTCACATTCACAATTTTACCCATATGGGCTCCTCTCCACCAATACATCTTTTTCTTCTTTGGGGCTGTTTGACCTGCCTGGTGCTCCAATCACTGTCAAATTGCTTGTGGTTCTTATGCCACTATTCTCATCTCCACCTCTGGCCTTCACTATAGCCCCTTCTTGAATAGCACCTCCTCTGGGAAGCCTTCCCTGACCACTCTGTAATACCTTTTGCTATCTTTGTCCACTAATATGATATTTCATAGTTATTTATTCATGGTTGTATCCATTTTTCCCACAGACTATAAACACTTTGGGGTGGGAATATGTATTATTCAACTTTGTATAACCAGCTCCTAATACTGAAGTAAGCACAATGGAGACACACAATATGGGTTTGTGGAATAAAAACATAAAGTTCTGAAAAGTACCAGATTCTATGACACCAAATCCTATGTAGTGCCAATAATAATTAGCTTTTATTGAGAGCTAAACATATACTACATGCTTTTCATCATTTGTGCCACTTAATCCTCACAAACACACTAGGAGATAGGCATTGTCTTCATTTTTCAGAAGAAAAACCAGAGGATTTAAGCAACTTTTCCAGAGCCACAAAATGAAATGTTGAAGCTGGGACTTGAGTCTGAGTGAAACCTTTGTTTTTTGTCAGGAGTACTAATGCCACAACACCAGCACTGTTGCCAAATCATAAAAGAAATAAAACCATTGGGAATGGAGCTCAGTGATAGAGGGCTTGCCTAGCATGTGCAAAGTCCTGGGTTTGCTACCCAGCACTGCAAAAATAACAACAATAAAATAAAACCACTAACATACCAAATAATTAGATTATTTCACTAATTTTAGGGTAGAGAAGACCTTTCCCCTTGTAGAGAAAAAGAGAAGAAACTCTAAATAGGTTTTAAAAACCTATCACAAACTGAGCAAAGAATTAATATTCTTTTTTTTTTTTTTTAGAATTTTAATATTTATTTATTTTTTAGTTTTTGGCGCACACAACATCTTTGTTTGTATGTGGTGCTGAGGATCGAACCCGGGCCGCACGCATGCCAGGCGAGTGCGCTACCGCTTGAGCCACATCCCCAGACCAGAATTAATATTCTTGATACAGAAAATGTACTTCCAAATCAACCAGAAAAACATGAACAATTCAATTCAAAATTGAATATACCCAGATTATCTATTGGAAAAATACAAATAGCAATTTAAGGTCTGAAAAGACCTCAACCTTAGAATAATCATAGAAATTCAAATTGAAATGAGATTTTTTTTTTTTCAGTGCTGGGGATCAAACCCAGAGCCTTGGGTATGCAAAGCAAGCACTCTATTACTGAACCACATCCCCAAACGCAGACATATCAGTTTTTGATGGTTAAAATAAAGTTTTGTTTTTTAATTTGTATAAAGATTTTAAGAACTTTAACATGTATTACTTTATTCCATTTGTGCTAAAATAATAACTTACCATTTTCTACCTAATTAGATTTACAAGGAAATGAATGCCCGTGTGTGTGAGTGTGTATGTGTGTGTGTGTGTGAGAGAGAGAGAGAGAGAGACACTAGGGATTGAACCCAGGGTCTTCTACATGTTAGATAAGCACTATTTATTTGTTTATTTTTTAGCTATTGATGAACCTTTGTTTTATTCATTTATATGTGGTGCTGACATTCGAACCCAGTTCTTCACACATGGTAGGCAAGCACTCTGCCACTGAGCCACAACCCCAGCCCCAGGCAAGCATTGTTTTTAATTTTATTTTAGACAGGGTCTTGCTGAATTGCTAAATCTGGCTTCCAACTTATGATCCTCCTGCCTGAGCCTCCCAAGGAGCTGGGATTATAGGTTTGTGCCATGACACCTGACCATGCTTATTCCTTTAATTTGTGACTACAAACCCATACAGCTATTTTGGAGGGCAATTTGGAAGAAGTATAGAAACTTGTAATTTTCTTACACTATAACTCAACAGCTCCCTCCTAGGAATATATTCTACAAAAAAAATGTATACTCATGCAATAAGAAATGTGGATACATTTTATTTTATCAGAAGCAACTCAGCTGTCCATTGGCAATGGGCATGGTATAAAATAACCTGTCGTATTTCCACATGATGGAATTCCACCTGGTCATATTTTATGAAAGGAGGTAGCTTTACATTTACTGACTTCAAAAGTTATAGAGAATATCTTGCTAAGTGTGAAAGCAAGTTGCAGGGCTGGGAGTGTAGCTCAGTGATAGAGCCCATGCTTACTACCTACAAGGGCCTGAGTTCAATGGCTCTGCAAAAAAAAAAAAAAAAAAAAAAGCAAGTTGCAAAATAGTATGCTTAGTATGTTTTAAAACATATATTTACATGTGTATAAAAAAGAAATCTGAAGCCCAGGCAGTGGTACATGCCTGTAATCCCAGTGGCTTGGGAGGCTGAGGCAGGAGGATCGAGAGTTCAAATCCAGCCTTGGTGAAAAGCAAGGCGCTAAGCAACTCAGTGAGACCCTGTCTCTAACTAAAATACATCCTCACATCCTATTTAGGGCTGGGGATGTGGCTCAGTGGTTGAGTGCCCCCTGAGTTCAATCCTGGGTACCATAAAAAAAAAAAAAAGAAATCAGAGTATCTCAACTGTAAGATTCTCTGCACACTGGGATAAAAAGGGACACCCCTCCCTTAACTTCTTTTCTTTTTATTACTTTATTTATGCAGACTAAAGATCAAACCCAGTGTCTCACACATGCTAGGCAAGTACTCTGCCACTGAGCTACAGACTCAGCCCTCCCCTTCTTTTCTGACTAGGTAATATAACAGGTAGCCAAATTCAAATAAGACCAACAAGCACTCAGTGAAAAATAAGTCTGACCTCTGTCTTATCCCCAGACTGCCTCTAGGGAAAAAGGGAAATCTTCATTTTACTTTATACATGTTTGTAATGTTATAGCTTTTTATTTCATTTATTTTTATTTTTCATATGAGCTCTCTTTTTATTGCCTAGGATGGTCTCAAACTTGTGGGCTCAAGTGATCCTTCCCCCTCGACCTTCTGAGTAATGGACTACAGGCACCTGTCACTGCCCCAGCTAGCACTTTTTATTTTTTAACAAAGAACCAAATTACCTTTCATAATTTTTAAAATATATATATACATATTTGGTTGTCAATGAACCTTTATTTTATTTACTTATTTATATGTGGTACTGAGAATCGAACCCAGTGCCAAACATATGCCAGATAAGCACTCTACCACTGAGCCACAACCCCAGCCCCTCATAATTTTTTTAATAACTTTATTTTATTTATTTATTTACTTATTTTTGTGCCGTGCTGAGAATCGAACCCAGTGCCTTACAGATGCTAGGCAAGCATTCTATAATCCCAGCCCCACCTTTCATAATTTTTTTTTAAAAATTCAGTCTAGGGTTGGGGTTGTGGCTCAGTGGTAGAGCACTTGCCTAGTATGTGTGAGGCACTGGGTTCAATTCTCAACAACACACATAAAAAAATGAATAAAATACAGGTGCAACAACTAAAACAAATATTCAAAAAATTATTTTAAAAAATTCAATCTAGTGAGAAAAAAAATGTTTACTGTAGAAAATTTGCAAATTATTCAAAAGTTTAAGAAGAAAATATTCAACTGCAATGTCATCTCCCAGGAAAAATATACTTTTTTTTTTTTAATATATTTTATTTTTTTTTAAAGAGAGAGAGAGAGAGAATTTTTTTTTTAATATTTATTTTTTAGTTTTTGGCGGACACAGCATCTTTGTATGTGGTGCTGAGGATCGAACCTGGGCCGCACGCATGCCAGGCAAGCGCGCTACCGCTTGAGCCACATCCCCAACCCGGAAAAATATAATTTAAGCTGATGCTTTTCCCTCAAATCTTTTTTTATTTTATTTTTTATTTTTGCACTAGAAATTGAACCCACTGGGGCTCTACCACTGAACTATATTCCCAGCCCTTTTTATTTTTTATTTTGAAATAGGGCCTTGCTAAATTGCTTAGGGTTTCACTAAGTTGCCGAGGCCAGACTTGAACTTGGGATCCTCTTGCCTCAGCCTCCCGAGTCACTGGGATTACAGTTGTGTGCCACCATGCCAAGTTCAAGTCTTTTACTCTTATGCACATACATTTGTTTAAAAAAAAAATAGTACATAGCCAGGTGTGGTGGCACATGCTGGCAATCCCACCAACTCAGGAAGCTGAGGCAAGAGGATCACAAATTCAAGGCTGGCCTCAGAAACTTAGACCTGTCTCAAAATAAAAAATAAAAAGAGCTGGGAATGTATTTCAGTAGAAAAGCACCCCTGGGCTCAATCCCTAGTACCCCCCTGCCACACACACACAAAAGTTCATAAAGTAGTCACTAAGTACACAAAAAGGGAGAATTCTAAAAATTCATTTGGAGGCAACATGAAATAAAATTTATAAAAGGAAAACAATGGGTCTGGCTGCTTGTTGGCACACTTCTGTAATCCTAGCTTCTCAGGAGGCTGAGGCAGGAGAATTGTAAGTTCAAGGTCAACTCAGCAACTTAGCAAGACCCTGTCTCAAAATAAAAAATTAAAAATGCTGGGGCTATAGCTCAGTGGCAAAGTCTCATGCCTGGCATGCTTGAGATCCTGGGTTCAATCCATGGTTCCTCAAAAAATAAAGAAACACAGGGAATTGAGAATGTAACTCAGTAGTACTCAGTGATACTCATGCTTAGCATGACTGAGGCCCTGTGTTCTAACCCAAACACCACACACAAAAAGAAAAAAAAAAAAAAGCTACGCTGTATACCCTTATTTCTAAATTGCTCTTTACATACTTAGTATAGCACAAATATTTTATCCTTGTACACGATTTTTCTAAGAAATATTTGTTTAGTCTATCTTCATCATCAAACATTTAGTTTGTTTCCAATTCCAGAACAATGTTTTGCAAATGAAGGAAATAATAGTCCTTTGGGGCAGAATTTAGAACAACAGAGAAAAAGTCCCTGTAGCCATCTCTTCCCCCTTCCTGACCCCATCCGGCAGGGTCTCTGCCCAGGCTTCCAGCATTGCCAGGGCGCAGAGCCAACTGGCCTCTAACTCTGGCCTTCTCCAAGGCAGAGGCTCTACTGCTCTGGCTCTGGATCATTTTCCATCACAAAGTATAATCTGATCCATGAGTAGTTCTGGTGCCCCCTCCCTGCCCTTCCGCCCATCCACAGTCTTTCAGTTCCCAAATTCAGGGTCCTTAGGACTCTGGTGGCCCAGACACGAGTACAACATTCTCATACAAGGGCTCCTCCTGCCCTTCCTCTTCTGCCTGCTTTTGGAGATCTTGTTCTGGGGGGCTGTTCCCAATGACTGGCTCCTGGGCCCTCCCTGAGCTCTCAATGCCATCCCCTACCCCTCTAGACACATCCTCTGATCTAACTCCTATAGACTCCATGGTACAAATGAGTTTGGCATTGGGAGCTAAGCCAAGGCTCTGACTGGCAGAGCCAGAGGACAGCCCAGGGTTGCCCTTGTTCTGACCCCGGGCCCGGCGTGGTGGCTTAGCAATAGCACCAGGCCTCTGACTGGCAGAACTAGAGGCCAGCCCAGGGCTATTCTTGTTCTGACCCAGGGCTCGGCGTGGAGGCTTAGGGATGGCAGTCTTGACCTTAGCTTCTGCCTGACCTTTCCAGAAATTACCAAAATGCCGAAAGATAGACAAGACAGGACCCTCAGATCTCTGGGGCGTCCCTGCCAGCATGTAGATTGTGGCCACAGGATCTGAGGTCTCCTTGACACCACTGTCAATGGCTTCCACACACTCAGCTGCTGTCTGGTCTTCAAGGTAGTACTGGTGGTCAATGGCAGAATCTCCAGGGCTGGCAGTAGCAGGAGCAGCCTCATCTGTGTTTCCTTGCTCCAGAGTTGCGGACTCCTTGGCTTCCTGACCTTCAGGACCTGGTTGGGCCCCCCTGGAGAGCCTTTTGGGTTTTCGGAATGGGCTGGAGAGTTCTCCTGAGCTTCGGCAACTCTGTGACGCAAACTTGGTGCCTTCAGCAAAGGAAACTGATGGCCGCTTGGCCCGCGCTAGGCTGGAGGTGCGTGGAATAGCAAATGGTGTGGAGGTATCCTCTGGGGTAGGGAAGGGGCCACCAGCCAGGCTGGCCTCTGCTGACTCTGCATGGGTTACCGGGACCATCCCTGGCAAAGGAGACAGAAGAGCTTGCTGCAGTTAGGCTGGCCACCCCTGTTCATCCCGCCTACAGCTCAGCATCTTCTGGGAAGCCTCAAAAATGGCGCAAGGAAAGGAGGGAAGATGCAGAGAGGCAGGAAGGGGCCAATTCAGCAGACACTGCTACTTCACTCTTCTACCACCCCTTCCCGCTCTGAATCACTAGTACACTCCAGTCAAGCTGAAACTTGCAATGCCACAGAGCCACATCCCTCTCCCTCAGGGCTATCATAAACGTTGTTCCCTTTACTTGAAACACCATCCCAATTGTAACTTTCACTTTACTAACTCCAGCTAACCCTGCCAGACAACACAGCTGTCACCAACACAGACGTGTTCCCTGATGCCAGTCGGCCAAGACGTGGCTAGATTATGAGTCCACCCTAGTGTATCCCCCATCAAAGCATCTATCACTCTGTCCTATAAGTGTCTGATTACTGCCTACCAGACTACAGGCTTGCTGAAAATAATCTATTTTATTCTCTACTGTGTCCCCAGAGCCAGGATCAATAACTATCATAGAATGGGAAGTAGATCCAAGTTTATATGTTTGCTGGAGGGAAGAGCTGCTCAGGGGTTCATTGGGCTGTTGGGGGCTACCTTCTTGGGGTGGCACACAGTAGGCAGGAACTTCGTCCTCTACTCCAGACTCAGGATCAGAAGAGAAGGAGTCATCTGAGGCCCAGCCAGCAGAGGGTGGCTCGATGAAGCTATGGTTGAAGGGGACCTCTGGGTCATGGTGAGAGACTGTAGGAGATACAGATCAGCACAGAGCCTGATGGGAATCTTTGTCCCATCCCAGTACCCGATCCTCAGTCCTCACTTACCTGTCACCCAGGGAAGTTTGTGTCTGCTGAGGGAACCACAGGACAGGGCAGAGCCTAGACTGGTCAGCGCCCCCCAGACCTGCTGCTTCATCCTGGACAAGGCAGCACCATCTCTCACAGGCCTAAGCAGTGGAGTAGGAAGGGTGGTCAGTGCACAAAACACAAAGTGACCTGTATTACCTTGGCAGGGTATGACGGCGGCTACATCTACTTCAATGGCTCTGTATCAATTATAGAATAAAATCTTAACTACCGAGCCCAAGGTCTGAATCACAGAAAACAGCATGGCTCTTGAGTCACAGAGACCTGGGTAACAACTCTGGCTCATACTTCATTCCCTGTAAAATGGGGACAACAATCTTATATCAGAGTTTTTCTCAGGACGCATAGTATTTGGCAGTGGTTTTCCAAAATGTAGCTCTTTGTTATTGTCATCCTAGTTGAACCCCAGTAAGCCTGTCCTTGTCCCTATGCTTCTCTGCTCCCAAGCAGTCATACTACTCCACCTGTCAACATTGGTCTGATGGCCTTTGTACATGTCCTCATTTTCCTGGGAGGGGCTTCTTCCCCACCCCAGGGCTCTCTGCCATGGGGCAAGGACAACAGGATCTGCTTATCTGTGGATGCCCAATAGCACACAGGACACACTCAAGGATCAGGCCATGAGAGAACTGGACAGAATCCAGAGAGCCTGTTGGGGTCTGTGTGTGTGCCGTGACTAGCTGGGTCACCTATGGCCTTAGTGACCTCTATGAATTGAGGATGATAATCCTCCTGCCCCCACATTTCCTGTTCCAAACCTCCATACTTTTGAGTCTCCAAGAGGTTAAGAGGCATGAGGACGTTCTGTGAAGAACAGAGCTACCTTTGAGCAACACTCCCCTGTGGCAACCCCACTGGCCCATTCCTTCCTCCCTTCTGTCTCTTAGAAAGCCATATTCTCCGTTGAACCACCAACTGTCTCCACTACCTCTGATCTAAGCACTGACAAGGCCAGCCCTTTCACACCCTGGAAAGGAAACCAGATGGGACCGGCCAGTGTTCACCTGTCCTTGGGGTCCAACCGAGTAGTCCAGCGGTAGTAGGCCCAGCAGGCAATGCCCAGGAGGAGCAGCAGCAGAGGGACCAGGATGCCAGTAGTGAGGATGGCATCCTTACTGTAAGGGCCTGGGGAAGCAAGAGATGGTCAAACACTCAGGAATTTCTGCTCTCCCATGCATGATGCCTCATGTTTAGCTCTGAGTTGCCACTTCCCCAGAGTCTTCTATTTATGGGTACCTCTCTCTCTTCCAGCCAGCCTTTGCTGGTCTGTCCCCTCCTGACGGTCCAGGCCCCATTCTAAAAATTCTTATCCTGATTTTCTTGTACTCTGCCATTCCAGAGTCCAAGCCAGCCCACTCATTTCCTGGATCTACCCTGGTTTCTCCTGGGGTCCCAGAGCATCCATACAGATTCCAAGAACAGGAATGTCTCTGAAGCAGGCTCAGGTTTGCTAGCAAGTGGGGCTCCTGGAGTTTATGGAAATGCTGAGATATTCCCTGTTTACTGCAGCACCTCGCATCCTCCCTGCACTCTCCCCAACTCACAGGCCCCTGAGACAGGGTGGCAGAGTCCCTCTGTACATTGGCAGGGAATAGAGCAGTTGTTTCCATGGAAGCCAGATGGGCAGGAACTGTTGCAGCTGTGGGGTAACAAGCAGGGGCAGGCTGAAGGCTGGGTGAAAAGGGATGGAGGTGGGCAGGGGAGAGGGAAGGCAGATTTCTGAGTACTGTACCCACCCCCTGCCATTTCCCTGGATGATACCCAAGAATCTCACTTCTGAGTCACATTCTAATTGCCTCTGGCAGTGGAAGGAACCCTCAGGCTTGAAGCTGCCCCGCTATTGGCAGGCCAATGTACAACACTCTGGACAGGGTCTACCTCTGACTATCCTCAGCCCCTTAGCCACCCAGAACTAATGTGAAATAAGCAAGATGCCAGTGGCATTCAGGGAGGTGCCATCAAGATATGGAGGTGTGAGTCAAGCCTGGCCTTGACCCTAACTTTCCAAGCCTTGGACCTTTCCATTATAAAATGAGGTCTCTTCTATTTGACATTACAAGCTGTCTCATAAATGAAAACCTGATTGGAGACACTGTTTTCCATCTGAAGACCTTAGGGCAATGACAATGGGTCTAGAGCCTATCCCTAAGTAAGGTTCCATCCAATTAGGGAGTAAGTCCTTTTTTTATTCTTTCTTTTAAATTATTTTTCTTTCATTTTTTTCCCCCTAAGGTCTCAGATTGAAAATCTGAGGGCTAAGGATGTGGCTTAAGTGGTAGTGCGCTTGCCTAGCATGTGTGAGGCACTGGGTTCGATTCTCAGCACCACGTAAAAAATAAAATAAAGATATGGTGTCCACCTAAAACTAAAAAATAAATATTAAAAAGAAAACTTGAGATCCTCTGGATGTGGTAGCACATGTCTGTAATCTCAGCAGCTCTGGAGGGTGAGCCAGAAGAATTGTCTAAAGCTAGCCTCAACAATTTAGCAAGGCCCTAAGCAAGTCAGCAAGATGCTGTCTATAAATAAAAATAAACAGAAGAGCTGGGGATGTTGCTCAGTGGTTAAGTGCCCCTCTATTCAATCCCTAGTAACAAAAAACAACAACAACAAAAAGAAAACTTGAGATCATGCACTGTTACACCCTGCCTGACACTGGTCAAGCTCCTCAGTAACAGGTTCTGTTAGATATTCGTCAGCTATGACTAGAATTCACTCTCTAAAGCATACACTATTAAAACCCCTAATTATTAGCTGCTTCACTATCCTGTACACATGACTTAGTGGGCTGCTGGTTGTTTTTCTTTCCTTTTTTTTTTAATCTTCTTTCTTTCTTTTTTTAGTCCTTTTAGATTTGGTATTATGACTTTCCTCAGATGACCTCATAACAGGAGGACTAACTTCTGATTTATGAAAATGGTAGACAGGTATCTGAGAGGTGGAAAGCCCCAGGAAAGAAAGTTTAGGAACCATTACTCAGTCCCAGTACCCTCCTGCCCACAGGGCTCAGTCCTTACCTGGTCCCCCAATAGCCAGCACTGCAGACACATTCTCCTGTTACAGCATCACAGGAGCCCTGAATACAGGTGGGGCAGGTAGAGCCACAGCCCTCCCCAAAGGTGCCCATTGGGCAGGAGTCTTCACACCTGAGGGGAGACAAGACTCAGGGATGGGGAGGGTAGAGCAGGTCTGCCCCCATAGTGGGGACCCTACCCACCTTCCCCATGCTCCAGGACTCAGAAACCCAACTGGCCACTCCTCAGCAGTGAAGCTCAGGTGTAAACAGGGCCTTGAACCTAGAACCAAACCAGTAGGTGACAGACTACAAATTCCTAGAGGGAAAAGGGGAAGGAAACCCCAAGGGGTAAGGAAGTTAGAAGAGTGTGCATCCCAGGACTCCCTCAAAATTCTTCTTTGACCCTCAGTTTTACCAGGAGGTAGCCCCAAGGGCTGACTGTGTGTTGGGGAAGGTAAGGATCCTACAGAAAAGTCTAGTCCACCCTCAGTAGGGTGGCATCCTCACCTGGGCCCCAGCCAGCCAGGGTCACAGTGCTGACAGTGGCCTGTCTCTGGCTGACAGGCCTCCCCAAGCCGGCAGCGAGGGCACTGCTGGCTGCAGTTCTTGCCAAAGGTGCCTGGTGAGCAGGGCTGCTGGCACTGGGTCCCATCCCAGCCTGGCTTGCAGGACTCACAGTGGCCTGTGTCTGGGGAGCACGATGCATTCTGCTCACATTGGCCACAGCTGGTAAGAGAAAGGGTTCATGGGAGCACCAGGGACAGATGGAGAGCCCAACTCCTCCAACCCACCTATAGCCCACTCAGATCTTCAGGGGCACTAGAGAGCATCCAGGTCCCAGTTAGGTGACTCAGGCAGGTTCAAGCCTCAGTTTCTCTGTTCTGTGCAATAAAAAGATCAGATAGATGATATCTGAGGGCTCTCACAGGGTTCCATTTCTCTCCTTGCTCTATGATCCATCCTTCCCTGGGTCCCAGGGTCACCTGAAGCTATAGTACAGCCAGGACACCAAGTTACCGCTCTACCCTCCACCTGCTTTCTGCCCAGCTTTCCTTTTCTCTTCCTTTCCCCTTTCTCTCTCCCACACTATGCCATCCCTGAGATCAGGGCTCAGTGGTTTATCTTCTATCCCACAACATGAAAATGTAAAAAAGTCAATTATAGACTGCATGCAGTGCAGTGTGCTTGTAAGGCTACTTCAGTGCCTGGAACAGAAGGACCACTTTAGCCCAGGAATTCAAGGTAAGTCTGGGAATAAAGCAAGACCAACCTTAAAAAAAAAAAAAAAAAAAAAATCAGGGACTGGGGCTGTGGCTCAGTTGTAGAGCACTTGCTCACATGCGTGAGGCACTGGGATTGATCTTCAGCACCACAAAAAAATAAATAAGATAAAGATATTGTGTCCATCTACAACTAAATAAATATATACATGACTAATGAATGATTATGACTGTTTTAACTACTATACTTTCAAGTTTACCTTATCTAAATTTTTCATTGATGCTTACCAGTAACTTGAAGTTTCTCCCTCCAGATTCTTAATTATCTGGGATGATAGACTTGGGTCAGATCCATTATCAAAAGGGAAGAAAGGAGTTTATAAAACCAGTCTAACCAATCTTGACTAGCATTTAGAAAAAGGAAAACACTACAGTATATGTGTATGTATAAATATAAGAATGTATTGTCTAGTTATTTTTATTTCCGTTATAAAATGTGCTACATGTGTCATGTGGGATGTAGTTTCTTGTTCTTGAGCTGATCAATAATTGAAAGCCACTGAGTCTTAAAGGGCCATTCTTTTGAATCGTGATTCTTTTTCTAAGTATGGCTTGCTAGTATTATATCTTTAACTAATTGGATGAAAGGAGTGGGAGGGCTCAACCCAGGGGTATCAAGGGGTTTCTTCTTCTTTCCTCCCTGTCTTGTGTATTTTGGGGGGATAGCACTAGGATCCCCACTCCGTGTCTAGCACTTCTCACTGGGTACCTGCCTCTTCCTGCTCTTCCTGCTCACTCCCTCTGACCTGGGTCCTCCCTGGTGCTCCTTGGAGGGGGGCTCACCTTTTGCTGCACTGCACCCCGTAGCTACCAGGAGCACAGGGCAGCTCACAGCGTGCGCCGTGGAAGCCAGGAGGGCAAGAACACTGACCGGAGGTGGCACTGCAGAGGCCACGCACGCACTGACACTTCTGACGGCACTCGGAATCCCACCAGCCAGGCTGGCAGATGCAGCGGCCCGAAAGCTGCTCGCAAGGGGAGCCATTGCAGGAGCAGCGGAAGCTGCAACGGCGGCCCCACCAGCCCGAGTGGCAGAGACAGGCTCCTGTGGTCTGGTCGCACTGTGATGTAGAACTGCACTGGCATTGGCGGCGGCACGTGGATGACCACCAGCCCCGATTGCAGTGGCACACACCCGTCTCAGGGTCGCAACGGCCGTGGGAGCTACAGGCACACGTGAACTCACAGCGGCTGCCCCAGCGGTCCGCTTGGCACTGGCACTTGCCGGTGGCTGGGTCGCACTGGCCGTGTGGGTGGCAGGGGCAAGTCTCACGGCAGTCGGGGCCCCAGTACTGGCTTGGGCAGCCTGCAGGGTTGCAGGGAACGGAAATCGGCTCAGGGCCAGGCACAGATCCTTGTCCTGTCCTTTCCTCAAAGCAGAGGGGTCCAGCCAACCCTCCAAGAGACAAGGACAGACCCTGGAACATGTGGCAACCTGTCCTCCTGGAGCATAGCTCACTTCCTGCTCCAGACTCTGAATTACAAAAACCCTTAGCCTGGGGCTGGGGTTGTGGCTCAGAGGTAGAGTGTTTGCCTAGCACGAGTGAGGCACTGGGTTCATCCTCAGCACCACATAAAAATAAATAAATAAAATAAAGGTATTATGTCCATCTATAACTAAATGAAAAAAATTAAAACAAACAAACAAAAAACCCTTAGCCTGGGCCCAGCCTCCCACTTGATGTTCTAGAGCACACTCAGAGATCTTGAGTGAAAAGGGGGTGTTCCCAGAGTCACACATAGGTGGGTGGGGGCTTTATTCACAAACCCCTGTTGCGCTTCCCACCCAGGGATTCCTGGGGCCTACCTTCAGGGTATGGGTCCACCAACCCCCTTTCTATCCCCCTCTTCTGCCAGAGAGGGCAGAGAGCCTGGTTTGGAGTCTCCTGCCCTCCACCCATATATAAGGTATCTGTGGGGGAGACTAAATTACACAGTTAACAGGGATCACAGGCATTTTCTCTAAGAAGTTAAAAACGAGGCAAAGGTCCCAAGTGGGCAGGGCTTTGTGAATATAGAGAAAAAACAGATGACTCAGGGCATCTACCAGGGGTACATCACTTCTGTAAGTGGGCCTTAATTTCCTCAAACTTGAAACTTGGGGGAATGGGAAGGCCGAGGCAGGAGGATGATGAATTCAAAGCCAGCCTTAGCAACTTAGTGAGGCCCTAAGCAACTCAGCAAGACCCTGTCTCTAAATATAATATAAAAAAAGGGCTGGGGATGTGGCTCAGTGGTTAAGCTCCCCTGGGTTTAATCCTTGGTACCAAACAAACAAACAAACAAACAAATAAATGACTTGTGGGGATTCTGGCCCTGCTGTTCTAAGGTTACATTTCCATCTGTTCTGCCATGCCCCTCCCTCCCCCACCCACCACCTAGTTCTGCCCAGTAACTTCATCCTGCAGTTGAGACTCACGGGAGCTGCACTGGGCCCCGAAGAATCCAGGTTTGCATCGGCAGAGGCCTGGTTTCACACATATCTCGTCTTTCTGGCAGGCATCCAGTCCCTCACAGATAGCTGAAAAACATCCCACCCAGGTCTGAAAGTCTGGGGCACACACAACCAGGGGACACCCTCTCCCTTTTACCCACTTCAGGGGCTTTGCTCCCTTAAAAGCCACCCTCATAAGGCTGGGGATGTGTGTCACAGGATGAACCCTGATTTTAGGGCTCTGGAGAGGAAAGAGTAGGAAGAAAGGGTTGTCACTGGGTGATATCTCCCATCTCCTTGGCTGGGGGTCCAGCCTGGCTACTCACGAATGGTGCATTCTCGATCTTTCTGCCTCCAACCTGGGCAGCACTGCAGCTCAGCAGAGGGGCTGTGGGGCAGAAAGGGGTCAGCTGGTGGCAATGCAGCCCCACAGGGTGAATCACTGGCTCCAGCTGAGGTGTGGTAATCTGCCTCAGACCACCAGGGAGATCTACCCCGCTGTGCCTGTCCACTCCAGTCTCCTTCCTTGGCCTTAATAACACCTGCCCTGACTATCCACTATTTGCCAGATCATTCCTCAAAACCCTTCCCTTTAATGCCAAGACCTCTTCCTCTACATCCTCATTCTCAGAAATGCCTCAATTTTTCATTCTCAGAAATGCCCCAATAATTCAGGCATCATCCCCATCAGTCTTCCCCAAGACCCACCTGCTGCCCATGCAGACGTGTTGCCCATTGGGATCCAGCTCAGACCCCTGGATCCCTGCAGTCCAGAGCAGCAGAAGTAGGAACAGCAGCCCCAGCCCCATGGCGGCCAATAAAGTGGGAGGGCTTGAGTTAATCTGGCTCCCACAGCTCCCAACCCCCTCCCTGCTTCCTCCCAAGGCTTTTCCTGAGGAAACCAGGCCGGAGGGGTGGACTGACATGATGCTCCGCCCTGAAAGGGCCCCATGGGTACTAGAAAGGCCATACACTCAGAAACGAAAGGGAAAGAAAGGCTGATGGTAAGAACTGAGTGGGTTTATGGGTCTTAATCTGGAGGCAGGAAGGAAGAACGAAGGCCTATGTCCTTGGATACAGAGAACAGGCAAGGGGGTGGGCATGGCTTTCCATTAGACCGTACTCCCAAAGTGAAGCCAGAGCTGAGAGAAGTCTTCCATCCAGCGACCAACCAAGAAGGAAACCCCATGAGGAAACCTCTGGCTGCCCCTGCTCCTGGAGGCTTGGGAGGTGGGACGGCCCACTAACAGACAGACATGGAGAAGTTTTGGGTATTGTGGGCAGATGCTTTATTACATTAGCTGTACAAATCCTCAGACAGGTAGAAAAACAGTCCTCTGTCTCCTGAATGGGGAAACTGGAACTTGGAGAAGAAATACCTTTGCACAGATAGCCCAAGGCTTGGTGAAGGAAAGTCAGGAAGGTAAGCAGGCTGAGCTCCCTGTCATGGTGAGCACAGGCAGGACAGGAGATGAGCACCAGAGAGGGCTGTGAAGGTAGGAGCCCTATCCTCATTTGAGCTCACACATTCACCCACTGCCAGACCCCAAAGTCAGGCCTCTGGGGCAGCTGAGGCCCTCAGACCAAGATGTTTATCAAAAGCAGAGCAGCGCCAGTCAGGAGTTGGGGGCTGGAGGGGTGCCCACAGGCTCCAAGTGAGGTTGCTGTGGGGCCTCCTCTTCTTCCCCTAGTTCACCGGGAGTGGTATTGCTGGTCTTAGCTTCTGAGGCCTCTGCTTCACTGTGATACCATGAGCCAAAGCTGGAGGGAGAGCCAGGAGGTACTTTGAGCCAGAAAGCCAGAGAAGTCAAGGATATGGGATGAGGGCAGGGAGTGGTGGGAAAGGAGATACAGAGGGGAAAAAGGGCAGTGTGTGGTCATGGGGAGCTGAATGGGGTCAGGTCAGGAGGGAGGGTTTGTTGGAGCTCAGGACAGCAGGGTGAGAGGCAGTGGAAAAGGAAAGGAAAAAAACAGGACTTCTCCTTCACCTCCCCTCCTGCCCTTCCCTTCCCTCAACATACAAACTCTGTATTCTGGACTCAGAGGGTGGGGGATCATCTCCTTTATTGCTGGAGAGCTGGAGCCAGGAGCCATCCTCATCATCACTAAGACAGAGGAAAGAGAAGATGTGAGGGCTACATATTGAGGCCCTGAGGGACAACAGGAGTTCAGCTCATGTGGAGCTTTTTGAATGGCCTCCAGGAGCACCAGGGAAGGACAGAAGGACTTCAGGGTTCCCAGCTGGAGTGAAGGAGGCACAGGATATCTTGAGGCTTTTACTTTATAGCCTGGCAGGTAACAGGCCCCTGGCAAAGCTGCAGACCCAGACCCATTCCTCTAACAGATAGACCCAGTCAAGGCAGGAAACTGAAAACTGAGTGTGGAGAAGCAGCATTAGCAGGTTTCTTCAGCAGATGTATACAACAGGGCAGGTGGGAGCAGTGTGATCCAGAAAGACGATAGCAAGTGGGACTGTGGGCTCAGGGTGTGATCAGGCCAAGTCAGCAGGCCCAAGGAGTGACCTAATCATAGCTGCAGGCTTAGCAGGACAGACTAGACAGCAGGCTTAGGGATAAGGAGGCCAGGTTAGATGGTCCAAGAAGTGACTAGATGAGATTGATATAAGGGTGACCAGGCTGGGTCAGCAGGCTCAGCTAGGTGACCACTAGGTCAGCAAATGCTAAGAGGTGGCTATCTAGGTCATCAGGCTCAGCAAAACTTGGGAGGGAGAGAGGAAAGGCTGGATCGGGGAAATGGAGGCAGGATCCTACCTACTCTCTGCTTCCTCTGGTGTCCCTAACATCTTGGCCTTGATCTTCTTTCGCTGTTTCCTGACAGCCACCTTCATGGCTTCAAGCAGAAGCCCAGGGACCCTGTGGTCTGTGAGCAGTTCCCTATAGGAGAGAGGGAGTGGCAGGGAGAAAGCAGTGAGGATGCCAACTGTAGGTTCCAGTCCAATTACCCATTTGCCTTTTTCTTCCTGAAATACTGCTTTGCACTGCTAACATTTCTCAGATCTTCTTATAGGTGGCCTGCTTCCTAGGAATACTTCCCTACTTGCTGCTGCTGCTGTTGTGACCCTTTGTGCTTGCTCGCTCTCTCTCTCTCTCTCTCACACACACACACACACACACACACACACACGTTTGGATGAAGTTCCAGGACAGCAGGAACTATTTAATTCATGTCCTCCCAGTACCCAAGCAGAGCCTGGCATATGTCACAGTGGATATATCAGTGAATAAAGAATTAGTGGGTGACTTGAGGCCCAAGGTAAGTAAGTAAAGGCACCTCCTCTTCCTAGCCTCTTACCGCTGGAAATAGGCCAACTCCTCCTTGAGCAGAAACACATTGGTTTTGAGCTCATTCCGCTCTTGAAGGATCTGCTCAACCTCCTCCCTGCTGAAGCCACACTGCCCTGCCTCCGGAGGATGTTCTGGTTGCGGTGGGGTATGCGTCTGTGAAAGGGCAGACATGATTGAGGAGGGCAGCCTCCATTATCCTTCCTACCTAAACCCTAATACTATCACAGGAAGGCTAGGGAAAGTGACTGGAAGACTTTGGGGGCAAGTGTGCAACAGTAGAGGGCGGCACTGCTGCAGCTGAGTGGGTCTTAGGTGCAAATCTATGTGTCACTTTCCAACGGATTTGCTATGCAGCCTGGAACAACAACTTGCCCAGTGCTTAATAAGTGCCAGACTGTGTGGGTCTGAGTTGGGTCCCTACCTTCCTCCTGCACTCACCGGGTCCTCAGGAGTCACTGGATCAAGCTCAGGCCTCTGCTCTTCAGCTCGCTTGCCAGGGCCTTGCAGTGGTAGCTCATGCTCCCTCTCGCGGTCCTGTGCAGCCCGCAGCTGGGCTTGCACGGCGGCCAGCTTGTGTCGCAGCTCTGCATTTACCAGCAGGAGGCGCTGCAGCTGCTCCTGCAACTGGGGGTGGAGCGAGAAGAGAGCTGACGGGCGGGGCGCCAAGGCCCGCCTGAGCCCCGCCCCACGCCTACCGACCGCACTCACAGCTTCCATCTCCTGGCTACGTTGCAGAAGGTCGCGGTTATAAGCACGGAGCTCGTCCCTCTGTTTGTCCGTCACCTCCTTGAGCTGCTGCAGTAGCGCGTGCTCCTCTGAAGAAGGCGTGTTAGTGGCGGCCTACAGGAGCTGAGGCCCCAACTAGTCCCCAGCCCACCCTGGTCCCGGCGGGGCCTGGGCTTACCCTGCGGTCCCGAGCGTAGTTCCCTACGGAGGTGCTCATTCTCCTGCCTCAACCGCCGTAACTCCAGTTCGGCCTGCTGGGCAGACACCTGCAGCTGGGGATGTACAGGCTGAGATTAGAGCCTGCCATCCCTACGGTGGGGTAAGCAGAGCGAGGAGTGACTCACCGAGTCCGGGGCGGGCCCAACAGCAGCCTTTTCCAGGAACTCCAGTGCCCGCACCACAAGCGGCACCAGCCCAGCCGCTGCCTCTGGGCCAAAACGACGCGCCAGCTCTTGCAGCTCAGTGCCCAGGGCCCCCGCTAGATGGTATATGAGCTCAGCTGCTGTCGCAGACCCCGAGGCTATTTGAGGTATCCAGCTGGGTGGCCCAGGCGCTGCACTCCTGGGCTCCATTTTCCCCCCAGAAGACCTAGGGCACCCCAGGCCTCAACTAGGACCGGAAAATGCCAAACAGTTCTGTCCCAGGAAGTTTAGGAATGTAAAGGGCGGGGTAGAAGTGACAAGGGAGGAGCAACAAGGGGTAAAGGACTGGGAAAGGGACATGGTGCACCCTGTCCCTGTCCCATTCAACCCCCAAGGTCACAGGGAACTGAATCACCATTTCCCAGGCAGGGGTCCAAAAGCAGAGGCCCAGTGTTGTTAGTGGTCATTGTAGGCAGGCCCTCCCCCTAGCACCCAGTCCAGGCTCCACCCCTGTGCCCAAGTCCAGAAGTGGACTTGGCTGCTAAGCACTCCAGGCAAGAAGTGAGACTGAAGGCCAGTGAGTGCTACAGACCACAAGCCACAGAGCTAAACCCAGAAAGGGGAGCAACTTCTCCAATGTTGAAAAATGGTGATGGTTTACAAGTATTTTTCAAAGAAACCATAAAGATAGTCAAGTCAGTAGAGTGTGAAAACCCAATCCCACATCAGTTCCTTAAGTCTAGGGGATATTCAGGTCCAAAACCCTGAACAGGAGGGAGCCTTTTACTCACTCAAGATAGAACCCAGCACCAAGCTGTGAACAACTGCCCCAGCCCCCTGTCATTTCCACATTCAGAATTTGAGCTCAGGTGGGGGGGGGGGGGGGGGAGAAAGCAACCAACCCTGAATTTCTATTTATACAAAATTTATTATATGTTGTTCAGGAATACAAGCCATTAATGACACAAACACAAAAACGAAGGAAAAAATGGCCAAGCTGCTGAATGTCACCAGCTTGTATGTGGGCATAAGAGGCTTCAGCATTTGAAAAGTCCAAAACAGGAGGAGGTGAGGAAACAACTAGGCATATAGGTCCTCGCGGTCTGCAGAGTAGACCTCTCCCTCTTGCAGGAGGGCAAAGTTGAGGAAGTGGGAGGGTCTGTGCACCTCATGGTAGAACTCTTTAGGGTTTGCCAGCTGTAGCTCATACTTCATGTTGGGATCATGTCGGACACCTTAGGTGAGAGGGAAACATTAAATGTTAAAAGGGTCTCCTTTCCGCAACCAGCCTGGGCCACTGGGCCATTTCTGCCCAAGTGCTAAGGGTAATGACGTCACTTATCCCCAACCCTGTCCCCACTTCCCATGCTGCCCTCACACACAGCCTACTCACCCATAAAGTTGTAGTTCCATGAGGACTGAGCAGGAACCATAAAGAAGCCAAGGAATCGGTCTGACAGCAACATCTGGACCCTCTCATAGTGTGAGGGTAGATAACCCTTGGGGTTGTTGCCTTTGTCTGTATTCTGGCGGCCCCATTCATAGCCACTGGGTGTCAGCTTGTAGGCTGTCAATGTGCAGGAACCTGGTGTGAAGCTAGAGAGGACAAGGACACGTGACAGTTCAGCTCCTGACCCGAAATGCCTACTTGCCCCACAATACTTCTTCATAAGAGGGTCCAAGCCCACCTGCAGGTGATGATAATGGTCTTCTCGCCATCCCAAGATGGG